ACCCGGAGAAAACCCACGCATGCACGGAGAGAACATGCAAACTCCACCCAGAAAGGCCCCTGGACCGGGGTTTGAACCAAGGACCTGCTCGCTGAGAGGCAGCAGCTCTACCAGTTGCGCCACCGTGCTGCGCATTTAGAAAGCAATTTTTTAAATTTTACTAAGAACTGTGCTGTAGTTTGCAGTAAAAAAAAACAAAACTCCCCAAACATCTCAGTTTGAACAAAAATGTAAAGTATTTTTTATGCCCCTGCTTTCAACTTTTTTATAAAGCTTATTAGAATTGTTTTGATGTTTTGGTATCAATTATAAACCTAGATTATTTCAGAATCTTGTTGTTCAGTTAAGCTAAGCCAACAAATATTTTCCTCTCTTGTTTTTGATCTTAATAGAGTTAGTCTCCTTCATTTATAATACCTTCAGATGAAATGTGCCAGAATATTAAATGTAACCCAGTGACTGACTGTGCACACTTACCCAGCCAGTCCACCAAAGATGTCCTTCACGTAGGAGTAGTCTCCTCCTGATTTGGGGATGGTGACGCCGAGCTCAGCGTAGCACAGCGCTCCGATGGCGGTGATGATTCCAGTGATGATCCAGACGATCAGAGCCACTCCTACCGAGCTGGCGTTTTCCAACACTCCCTTTGGACTGACGAAGATGCCTGAGCCAATGATGTTACCTGGTGGATGGGGGAGAGCAGCAAAGAAACAGGGATGGGATGAGTTCACAAATAAAAGTGAACAAATATGATGAAAAAAGACTAACGGGGTTCATGATATATAGGGCTTTGTGTTAGGTTCTGATTTAATCGTGTTTGTGCTCATTTAATTTCGAGTCCCAATCCACCTGTACAATGTTAGTAATCAGCACACCTACTCTTTATTTTTTTATTACTTCTCATTGCACTCCTAGTGTCAGTTCATTCTTTACCAGATCTTTACCTGTGTTCTTGTCAGCTTACATCTATTCACCATTTCAGTTTGTGTATTTTCTCTGTTATTGTACTGCTTTTGCATTTAATTACTATATCTTTAACTGGTACAGCCAAAAGAATCAGCTTTATTGTAATTGCACCGAAGCACAACGGAATTACAATTCAGTACAGCCCGTCCAAGTAAAACACAAACAAACAGACATGGGGAGATGGAGGTGTCTGGGGCTGCGGCCTTGTGGGAGGCGTTGCCTTTTTCATTTAGATAAGAAAAGAGAAACATGCGGGAAGAGATGGGACACAGTGTGAGAGTTGAAAAAAAGAAAAAAGAGCACATTACTGCAGTTCTGGCCTCCCTTCACTGGCTCCCGGTTCACTTTCAAATTCATTTTAAAAGCCTTCTGTATGTTTTTAAATCACTGAACAGTTCTGCCCCTTCCTATCTCATTGATCTGCTGCAGCCATATGTTCCACAGCGTTCTCTGAGGTTAGCAGACCGGATGCTTTTATTGGTGCCAGGAACCCGTCTTAAGCTCAGAGGTGACAGGGTCTTCTCTGTTGCAGGTCCAAAACTGTGGAATGAGTTACCACTTCATGTCAGGCAGGCAGGCTCCCTCTCTCACTGTTTTTAAGTCTTGCTTAAAAACTTACTTTTATTCCCAGGCTTTTGACGCTGAGTGAGTTGATTTTAACTTGTCTGTATTCTATAATGTTAGTCATTTAGTTCTAATCTTTACCTCTGTGGATCTATGTATTTTATCCTGTGTACTTTGCTTGTGTTGTTTTCTGTTTAGCACTTTGGTTGGCCTTGTTGCTGTTTTAAGTGATTTATAAATAAAATGGTACGGTATGGTATGGTATTGACATGTTTTGTGTAACTAATCAAGAGATGTTCAGTAATATGTTATTTATGAATGTTCAAAAAATTTAGTTGTGCAGTATAGCAAAAATAACTAAAATGGTTCATTAAGTGGTTGACTGTGGTTCAATAGATGAAAAATTAAAATGAGAAAAAACTTAACTGGGGATTATAAATTAGCTGGCTCAGAAAGATGAGAGTGAAAAATGAATGTAACATGCTGACAGCGCAGTCGTGAAAGGATGAAGCAAGACAGAAAGCAGGGTGAATGAGGGTAAAGAGGGAGGGCGGTTGGTAGGTAGATGCAGATGGGGGGGTGGGGGTGGGGGGGAGGAAATAATGTCCTGACAGACTCAATGAGCATCAGAGTTCAGTTTACACAGGAGCAACAAGGTGAAGAGACGGGTGATTAGCCGAGATGAAAGAACATATTCCTTTGATTCAGCTAAGGTTCAGAGTTCAGGAACATCCTGTCACGTTCAGGGTTACTGTGATTAGCTTAAAGTCATAAGAAGGCGTCAGGTTCAAAGACTGCAGGTTTCAATCATAACGGATAAAAGTCCAAAAGTCTAAATTATGAATGATACAGTCACAATGTGCCAACAGATAGCCAAAAATCAGTTAGTGTGGATTCATTACAGCTACTCTTACTGCTGATATGTCAGTAAAATATGTATATTAGCTCCTGCAGCTGATTAGTGAGACAAAAGTTAAAAACTGATTGCATTTCTACAATTTCATACTGAAAAATTAGCATATCTTCTGGTTGCGAATTACAAAACACAAAAAATATGTGGTTGTGTTGTGAATCTGCAGGAAGTGACAGCTGCAGCGCTCTACACTCTTGTGGCTGAAGGTTCATGCCACTCACCAGTAGCTTTACACAAGTAACAACAGCAAAGAACATTGTTTTTATACGCTGAAATTCTACCACAAACATTGTCACTCTTGACAGAAATAAACTAAATTAGAGCAGGAACTAGATTTCCATTAGTTGATCCTGTTTACAAGCTAGCATTAGCATTGTAGCATAGGCAGCTGCTGCACAGGAAGTTACCTGCGCTCCATATTTACTTCATAAATCGTAACTTGGTTTTGGGAATGACACTGCTGCATCCAAATTAACTGTGTTCCAGTGAAAAGTCAAAACCAGTGGGGTTTGCTGCTATTGCTAATTGTAGCTAGCCTGCTTAGAAGCTAGCTACATTTAGCAATACGAGATAAAAAAACAAACATAATTTCTCGTTAATTTTATTAATTTAAAGTCTGTTGCACATTGTTTCCTAATATATGCAGCACTATAATATCTCTATGACTGATTTAGTGAGATGCAAACACACAAAAGTGAATATTAGTTTATTAGCAGCTATCACTGCTTTTAATGCGGCAGGCGGCCATATTGGATTTTGAGTTTGTTTTTTTTAAACTTGATCGAACAACATAACAGAACAAAATAACACAACAACAAATGACAATCTCAAATTACAAAAGGATTCATATAAACATGTACAAAAAATCCTCCAAGTTCAACATATGCATAATCAAGTTAATAATAATAATTATAATGAATTTAATTTGTAACGCACTTTTCATTAACAAAAATCTCAAAGTGCAACTAAAATCAATGATAAAATCAACAAAAATCAGTGATAAAATCAACTAAAATCAGTGACAAAATCAACTAAAATCAGTGATA